TCCGTCAGCTTAGTCACTTCTACATTAATCTCCCTATTACGGTCTCCCCCCTAGACCCTCTTCTTCTTCATAACTTCTTTTTCTCCTAGTCTGATCATCAGTTTGTGTTCAATGACCTTCCTTTCTACTCCCACCATGTCTGTAGCAGTCCATGCGAACACATGTTTGTAGCGCTTGAGCAAGTCGACCAACGCTCTTCTCATATAATCTGGGAGGTCACATCTAACGCTGATCGGCTGATCAGGGTGACTTTCATTGATTATCTCCTTCCCCTTTATGGGACTGCCCCTGGGTCTTTTGCACCCTTTGGTTATTTTTGCTGGCTTCCTGATTGTATAGCATTGCAATTCTTTGGGGTGGGTGGCTAGTATCATGGCCTTGCCTTTCGGTGTGTCAAATTTCATGATTCCATGCATGGTTGATGGTACTACTCCTAACTTCAGGAGGGTTGTTCTTCCTAGAATGATGTTATGCTCTGCTGAGTGTCGGATAACCACAAAGTCTATCAGGGCAGTTTTCTTTCGCTGCTTGTCATGGCTGGTGATCGTCAGGGGTAGGTGGATTGTGCCCAGCGGCCACACGCTATGGCCGGTGAATCCCACCAGCCTACCAGTCGTAGGTCGCAAGTTGTCTTTCCAGCGATCAGGGAGGAGTCGGAAACAGTGCTCATAGATGATGTCTGCTGAACTTTCGGTGTCGATATAGAGCCGATGGATAGTCACGTCTCTGATAGATGCTTGTATTATCAACGGGTTGTCGCCTCTCCAACCATCCGGCCTGGGATCCTGAATGGAAAATGTGAGCGCGCGTGCTGAGGTTTAACGGTCGTCTGTTTTCCCCGTTGTTCCTCCCTACTTCTTTTGTTGCGTATCATGAATATCTCCCTGGGTTGAACCCCCTCCCTGGATGGGCCCTTGTCATTCTCAGCATCAAACTTGGCGCGCAGACTTCATGTCACCTCCACCAGATCTCCTTTGAGTTGTTTCTCCTCCATCTCCTTTTTTTAGCACCGAGCAGTTTATTGTATCATGCGTCTTACTTTTGTGGTATTCACAGTACCGGTTCTTGGGCGACTTGGCCAGTTGTTGTTTCCCAGATACTGCGTACACTTCCAGGCGACGACCCCGTTTGTCGTCTTTAGCGAATGGTCGAAAACACACTGGTGGTCTTCTTTCCTTACCATAATGTCTTCCACCCCCTCAGAAGTCCGTATGACTCGGCTGGTGATGCTTGGTCGTCATGGCATTCAAGTAAGCTTGCTTAGCCGCTTCACCATCCTCCTATCGTAGATATCGGTCTACTCTTTCCTTCAACTCGGCTCGTGTTAAGGGCTTCTTTCCCATGAGTTTTTGCGACAAAGGGCCTGGCAGGAGTCCCCACGTGAATGCTCCAGCTATAAGGCCTTCGTCATGTCCTGGTACATCCAGCATGGCGTTTGTGAATCTTGTGAAGTATTCTTGCACAGATTCCCCCTCTCTTTGTTTACAGCCAATAATGGAATGAGAGTCCCCCTTGTATTTGCGTAACTGCATGAAGTTGGTGAGGAAAAGATACTAGAGCTGAGTGAAGTTTGAAATACTGCCTGGCTGTAGTGTTTTGAACCACGTGCCGGCATTGCCCTCGAGCGTCGTTGGGAAGTATGTGCACCAGAACTTCTCGTTAAGTTTTAGCGACGTCATCGTCCATTCGTATGTGTCGATGTGATAGTGGTTCCATTGTACGTTTTGAGTGTCAGGAGTTTTGCGGTATTTGGTATCTCATAATCCAATAGCTCTTTGACGAACGGAGACGTTACGCTTTGGGAAACCATCCTGGCCCGGGATGGGCGACATACCCTGCTGGTACTAGGAGTTCGTACCATGCGGTGGTGGTGTAAAGTAGCCCGGACTTGGTCCGTAAAAGGGGTATGGTTGGAATGGTAACTGAAAAGGATAACTAGTGGAAAGGGGGGGGGGGGATTGGTGCAGCGGGGTTGATTATTACATGTTGTTGTTGGAAGATATAGTCGGTCCGGACCATGTACAGGTCGTCGGATAGATGGGTGGTGGGTGGCTCATCATGGTTTGTGCCAGTGGTGGCAATAGGATTGTGGAACTCTACCCACTCGTCGCTTGAAGCGGTGAAGGTGTTGCAAATGGCAGCGAGAGGTTGGAAATGTAACTCGATGGGGGTGTTGTCGAGTAGATTGCTCGTGTCTGTTGCAACGACGGTGCGAAGAACGGCGACATCTGAAGCTGTGTAGATGGGAGTAGCTCCACCGGAGTTGCTTCTTGCTGAGGAAATGGCAGTTGTGAAGCGTCTCCGGCGGCTGCTATGGAACTTCCTTCACCTAAAACGACCCTACTGGCCGTTGCAGGTGGTGGCGTTTCGTCCAACGTCGTCATGGGACGTATGGGACTAGCTGGTTGTCCCTCGTTACCGCTGGACACCATTGATGCTCGTTTTCGTGGTTTTCGTTTGTGTTCTTCGTCTAACAAACGGATGGCGCCAAATGATGGAACCTCGTTCCCTGTAAGATTTTGCTGGTGCTTTGGTTGGGTTCTTCCTGGCTACCTGGTTACTACTGCAAAATCATAGAGAACAGAGGCCGTTAGCCGTTTTCCGGGAGGAGCTTCCGGAAGAACGCTCCGACGGTCAAGTTAGAGGATGATTTAGGGTTTGTGTATGTGTTCTCTAGAAGGGCCAGAGAACTTACCTCGCTAGCTTGAGAATGCATCCTTTTCTACCTAGCGCCCCTGCCTGGTCCGTACCAGACATGATCGCTTTTTTAGGGAGATAGGATCAAAGGCGCTGATTGGAGGGTCATGCGCCCTCAACCACTAGAGCCCTCATTAGCTCTGACGGTAATGCTCTGATCCCACTGTTTGACTCCATGTTGTATCTTTTGTCTTGGAGCACGGGGCATCACTTGGCGGGCGCGAGCCTTCCGCCCGGGCGTTCTACTCCCTGTGGCGCCAGCGGGCGCTGAGCCTGCTGGGTTGGGCCTGGCTGGTGTGCCCGACTTAAGGGCTTGGAAGCGACTCTGTTGTGCTGCCCTAGGCACACCATCAGTGTCCAAATGGGTGGAGGCTAAGGCCACCCGTACTAATGATTCCAAAGTTGTGGTCGATTTCCTTAAGGTACAGATTTTCTCACGGTTTGGCACACCAAAGGCGCTCATAAGTAACCACGGGACCCATTTCTGCAATCGGATGCTAGAAGCTGTTTTGAAGAAATATGGAGTGACACACAAAGTGTCAAAAGCTTATCATCCCCAAACCAATGGACAAGCAGAAGTCTCAAATAGGCAAATCAAAAGCATCTTGGAGAAAACGGTCAACCCAAACCGCAAAGATTGGAGCTTAAGGCTAGATGATGCCTTATGGGCATACCGTACCGCCTTTAAAACTCCCATTGGTATGTCCCCATATAGGCTTGTGTTTGATAAAGCATGTCATCTTCCAGTTGAGCTTGAGCATAAAGCTTTTTGGGTGGTAAAGAAATTCAACATGAGTGAAGATGAGGTGGGAAATAAAAGGAAACTTGATATCCAAGAGCTAGAGGAGATTCAGAATGATGCATACGAAAGCAACATGATCTATAAGGAGAAAACAAAAGCATACCATGATAGGGCAATCTCCCGAAAGACTTTTATACAAGAACAAAAGGTGTTGCTTTACCACTCAAGATTCAAGATAATTTTAGGAAAGTTGAGATCGAGATGGGTTGGTCCTTTCGTGGTCACAAGGGTGTTTGACCATGGTGCGGTGGAAATCACGAGCAAGCAAACGGGTAAAACATTCAAAGTCAATGGTCACAGACTGAAGCCGTTTTATGAAGGATTTGAGGTGAAGAATGAAGAGGTTGACGAGTTGGAGAATCCCACATACCAAGACTGAAGCACACTTGGGGTAAAGGTCGAGCCAACGACTTAAAACAAGGGCGGCTAACCGGGAGGCAACCCGGGGGTATTTCTATCTTTTATTTAAAAACAATTTCCATTTCTTTGAGTTTTTGGTTTTCAATGTTCCAAATGCATTTAAACATGATTTAAAATCACCAAACGGACCTAGGAATGCAAAAGTATTTCATTTCAAAGAGAGGGAAATTCTCAAGTTCAAAAAGTGGGGATTAGCGTGCAGGGACCAACACGGGTCGTGTCCCGCTTAGCCTTAATGGAACACGGACCGTGTTCATGTAAAAAAGGACCCAAATTCTTCCAGAGACCAACACGGGTCATGTTAGTTTTGGCCTATAATCAACATGGGCCGTGTCCATGCAAAAAGTACCTCCAATTCCTCTAGATCATAACACGGGTCGTGTTTAGTTTTGGCTTAGACCCAACACGGGTCGTGTTCGTCCTTAACTCAGCATAAAACCCCCTAACACGGGGCGTGTCTATTAAGCCTGCGGCGACACGGGTCGTGTCCGCGCAGCAGTTCTGGTGCTTTTTAAAGAAAAAAACCAGGACTTGACCTCATTTATCCCCACTTTCACTTCCTAACAGCCCCTCTCTCCCAACAAAAACCTTAGGTCCGATTTTCATCAAAACCTTTCAATTTCTTCAAGATTTTGGCTTTCATCTACAAAAAGGTTTGATTTTCATCATCTACACTTCATCTTCTCCATCTTAAACACCATTTTCTTGCATTTTAATGGTGGATTTTGGGGTTTTGACAAACCCTAGATCTGAAAATCTCACGTGATTTTGGTATTTTAGTGTCTTAATCTTCAAAAGGGTATGCTTGGGGAGGTTAAGGAAGATCTTTTCCATCAAGAACAACACAATCCCACACACGATTCGGTAAATTCCTCCCAACTCTTAACTTTTGGATTTTGTGTTCTTGAGTCAAATTACTTGAAATTGTGGTCTATTTGGACTTGATTCTTAGTAGGAAATCTTTGAAAACCAAATTTCCCGCGAAATTTTGGTGGCCAAATTCGAAGTTGACTGGACCCGTCAACAGTTGACTTTTTGACATATTGACCTATTGACTTTTAATTTGTCCCAAAACATGACTATGGAAGCTGCATCTTCCAAAAGACCAAGACAAACCAAATCATCTGCCCGCCGTCGGAAGCCTAGGACCCCATCACCTCCATCTAGATCCCCATCACCTCCACCTACGTCCCCAACACCCCCAGCCGACCCATCTCATTGTGGTGTCATATGTATTGGCCCAATTCAACAGGGCAAACTTGAGTCATTTATTAAATAGGGTCATGTCATCCAAAAATTCACGCATGTTCCATCCCTAAAAGAGTTGCATGTTTACAATCAAGTCAAAACCCTATTTTGCAACATAGGGTGGCACGGCTTGTTGAGGGTCCATGAATTGAGCTATAAAGTCCCAATAGATGAGTTTCTATCCTCAGTTTATTTGGACCACGGGATCCTCTCCTTCCGTCTAATGAATCAATACTATGAGATCTCTTTGGATGAAATCAATGCCATTGTGGGGGCCCGAACGGAAAACACATTTGGCCCCACTGACCCAATTCAAGGATACTTTGACTTGACATGGTGGACCCAACTCACCCAATTACACCCATATGTCTCTAGCGCTGCTAAAGCCTCATCACTTATCCATCCCGTGATGAAGGTAGGCCATAGAATCATTGCTTCGCTTGTCGCCCCTAGAGAGGAGCGAAGCACCATCAACGCACTAGAACTCAAAATCCTCTATGCAATGACCCATCTCGAGAATAACCTCATTCCTCATTATGGTCGGTTTCTATGCCACAAACTCATCCGCCTAAACACATCCCGATTGGGAAAGATTGTTTGCGGGGGTATTGTCAGCATGCTCGCCAAGAGCGCCCAAATCCGAGCCCCATACCCCAGTCCCCATTAGCCATTGCCGGGTGACCTTATCTCACCACTACTGTCCTTGAGTCCATGTGACTCTTCTGTTCGGCAGGCGATGGCACACACCATTGGACCGTGAGTCAAAATCATGATCCAAAGCTCCTCATCATACCAGAAAATAAAGGCATTCTTGATTTCCGAAATCCCATTCACATGACCGATTGGCAAATCATTCCATACATCTTCCCCCACTCATAATCCACCGAGGTAGATGAGCAAAGTGATGAAAACGAGGAAGATCGTGATGATGATGATAAAGAAGAGGAGGAGCCCCACCATGCTTCTCCCATCGGTGGTGCCAGCTCATCCCATTTTGCTGCACCCCCGTCTTATCATCAACAGTATATGGATGAATTCCAGTCAATCCATACCCGCCTCGACACCTACCAACAAGATATTGCAAGCCTGACCCAAAATTTTTCCACCTTCACCACTCAGTATGTTCGGGATCAAGAGCGTCAACGCAGACATGAGGAGGACTTCTAGGCTTGGACCCGAAACCCCAGCTACTATCCTCCTCCTCCACCTCCGTTTTAGGTTGTTCCACCCTCTCCAAGCATCGGGGACGATGCTTATCTTTAAGCTTGGGGAGGGGTAGACTTGTATATTAGGTTCATTCATACTCATGCATGCATTTTCTTATTTTCAAAATTTTTATTTCATTTTCCAAAAAATTTATTTTATTTTCTCTTTTCTATTTTATTTTCTTATTTACACTTTCCTTGCATTCTTCATTTATTCTAAAAAAAAGTACGAGATGATGACACTCTTTACATACAATTGCTCCATGAAGTGGGAAATCGAGAAATCAAATGAAAGAATTCCGAGGCGACCGGATAGTTACTGGAAGCGTAGAATCAGCTATCATAACTAGGGGACCCAAACACCGTAATTCGAGACCCTAGCCTTAGATAATAAAAAGAATTTATATTGAAATTTTTTTGGGCGGTAATAACAACTTTAGGATGATTTGCTTTTGAATGTTTAAAAAGAATCTTTATCGGCAACTCTGAACCCACAGAACACGGACCTATTTGTTGACACGCATTACCCTCGCGGTAACAGAGAGCTTAAGTATCAGATCCACACAGTCAAGAAAGAAAGAAGGGTACAACTGTCATATCTAGTACCCAAATTAGAATTTCAAATGCGAAAACGAAGAAATCTAAAGAAATTCCAAAAATGAAGATTGAAGAATCCAAATTCAAAACGAAGTACAGATCAAAGTTCAATCAAATAAAAAAAACCAATTCAAGTCAAATCTGGTGAATGAAGAACTGTGTGATATGATACTTGTGGCTCTCGAAAAAGTGAAAGCATAGAAGCTGGGCCCATTCGGGTGGGCTCACTGTTTTAGCGAAAGCTGATTTGCCGTGACGGGTTCTTAAGGATGCGTCGATTCTGATTCTTGGCCATCTATTCTTAAGGACATGAGATCTGGTCTATGTTATTTTCGCCCATAAAGCTTAGTAAGGTATAAAGATTAAATAAAACTTTGGTTGGATTATTGGGTTACACCGTTTCGGGTCTTCCTCACATTGAGAGTCTGTGATATGTGGAAGGAAACAGGATGGTTGCCAAGGTATCAATGATTGAAGCCCTATTGATGTAAAGTCTGATCCTACCTTTATTTAATTACAAAAATATATATTTTGTGTTTGTTCTTAATTTTCTTTTCTTTTGCTTCATTTTTATTCTCAAGTACATTTTGTACATATCTTAAATTTTCATGGCATTACATTGCATGCATTCATTCTTAACCTTTAAGATCCTTCATACCCTTTTCGTTTTAAGCATCTTTTTATCATCTAGAAATCGTCCTGTTTTGTCTATTTCTTGTTCTTTCTTGAGGACAAGAAAGGTCTAAGCTTGGGGAGATTTGTTAGGTTCATTTTGTGCACCTTTTTGCACAGCTTTTAGCCTTTTTTTATGCATGTCCTAAGCATAATTTCATTGTTTTTATTGCATTTTAGCATATTTAGGTTAATTTCTTGAACAACCATATTTTCACTCCTTCATGTCCTTTTCAGGTGAACCGGAGGTTGGAGCGCGCTTTTGGAGGTGCTAGGGAGCGTTGGTGAAGATTGCGGGACAATTGGGCGAGAATCAGAAGAATTAGAAAAATCAAGTTTGGATGAGCATCTTGAGGGCAACACGGGGCGTGTTGGGTTTGCCTTAGAACCCAACACGGGGCGTGTTTGACTATCTCAAGCATTCTTGACTTCGATGAACACGACCCGTGTTCATTCAGGCTATTTCGACACGGGGCGTGTTGGGCTAGCTGGGCATTTTTGAGCATCGTACTTCAAAGTTGGAAACGAGAGTTGAAGGTTTGGTTTACAATCAACACGACCCGTGTTGATTTGCTCTATTTCGACACGGGGCGTGTTCGACTTAAAAAAAACTGTCTTTTTGGCAGTTTTTCCTCTTTTCTTATTACGGGAATTAGGCCATTTTTCAAAAGGGGGCAGAGCGGAGAAAAGCATTTTTGGAGAGAAGGAATTGAAGGTTTTAGCAAGGATTGTCCGTTAAACATTTGGATTTCATATTTGTAAGCACTTTAGTTCTTGATTTCATCTTCTAGAATTCCAGTTTTGTTCTAGTCATGTGTGGCTAGAACCCTAATTTCTCCAACCCATGTTTTGACTTTCTAGTTGTGAATCTAATCATATGACTTGATGTTTGTTCTTAATTTCTATCTAATGAATTTGATTTTGCTTTAATCGAATGTTTGATTCTAATTGTGATTCTTATTGGCCATTTGAATTAGGGTTAGGTCATTCCAATTATCTCTTTTACAAAATCCGTAATTGTTTTGTGAAATTGAAGAAGTAACAAGCATTAAATTGATCTCTATTGAATGAATTTAGTGTAAATCTTATTCATACACTTTTACACTCCCGAGCTTATGAGGAGTATTGGGTGTTGTTGGGAACATTCACATAAAGCTTCATGCAATCTTTCAATCTAATTCTAAGTGTGTGTTTAGATTAGGTTAGTAAGGTTAGGATTAATCAAAGAGCTTGTTTCGGTTAATTATTGTGGTGAATGGAAAGTGTTAGAGTTTGTTAACACTTTCAGGTACCAACTTAGATAGAATGAAACAAAAGTCTTGTCATCTTGGATTCACATTGTTGAATTGTCATACATGAAGTTGGAGTCTTTATAATGCATTTAATTTACTCATTCAGCCAATTACTTGTGAATTTATTTTGTTTGTCTAATCATTATAATCAAACCCCTTTTTCTTTCATCTTTTGTGAAGAAGTACGTTACGCAAAAAGTGTATAGACTGATTGTCATGTGTCTCTGTGGATCGACCCTACTTGCCTTGTACTACTTTTTAGTGCAATATAGTGGGATTCTTTTGGAGTATATCGTACCCCATTATTTGTTGGGTCTGACACACCTAACAGGCTCGTTGGACCCTCCGGTCTGGTCACAGCCTCACATAATATAATATGTATAACATAAACAAAGCACAACTCAATTAAGCACATAAGACCCTCTGGTCACACATAAATACCACTCTAGGTAAAGTATAGTGAGAAGACTCACCTTGAAAACAAGCTAGTAACAGTCTCGTACTCAGAAATCTCGAACTAGCTTCCGCCTAACACACATGATAAACATCTCTAATTAATACTCTATTCATACCCAATTACACCAAATGCTATTCTCTTTCTCTGTCTAACTCTTGAAGTGCATAAAAGACCATTTTACCCCTCTATGGTCTCCATTACTCATGATTGACCAAACCCTAAAGTCAACCACAGTCAAACTCGAGTCAACAGTCCATGTTTGACCCGAATCGCTGAGTGCACCCTTGTGACTCGTTGAGTCCACTCATTTTCTCAAGAGTCTCGTGAAAGTCTAGCTTAGCTCGTCGAGTTGATCCCCAACTCACCGAGTTTTCGCATGATTTAGCTCTTCGGGACGAACCCTAACCAACTCGTCGAGTCGGCTCATCGACTAAGCGAGTTCATCCAGACTTATTGATCATTCAGATGATTTCAACGAGATATATCACTCCAAACACTAGATCTATCATCTCAAGGCTCAATAATCACGTAAAGCTTCGATCTTTACATTCATGCATGATGCTATTGCTCCAAAATGCTAATACATGCCCTTCATGAATGATTAAGTCCAACAACCCACATATGGATGAATAAAGCTGGGACATCTAGACTCTAAAGACCTCACCAAGTCCAGATCTGAGGTCTGGACTTCTTGATAACTCATGCTACTCAAAGACCCAAACAAATGATGACAAAAGCCCTAAAACTCCATAGATATGAGATCCAACTAAATAGATGAGAAAGGTGTGGGTTGTTTACCTTCTAGAGAAGCTCCTTGAGAAGAAATGCTAGATCCCATGGCCTCATCTCACTTCTTACTTGAAGCTCACTCCCCTTCTTCCAAAAGATCCATCAAATCACTTGATATTAGCTCGAACACTCTCCCTTAGCTTCAACGGTCGTCTAGGGTTTCACATAGGAGAGTTGAACAACAGATGAGCCACAAATGAGGCTATAAGTGCCTTTAAATAGGCCACGGGCCCGAAGGTTTAGGATTTCCTTCAGCAGCGCTGACTCGGCTAGTCGACTCACAGACTCATCGATTCAGCTCATTAATCCACGTCACCCAATGCGACCCTACTCGATGAGTTGAGGCACTAACCCATCGAGTCGCCCATGCAAACTCATTATTACATATAGAAATGTTATACCCCTGAACCAGGATGTTACAGAATGTTTGATGGAAGAAACCACATAGTCTTGCTAATGGGGTCAGCGAGGGCAATGTCATTAGGACCAGTGACCTTGAAATAAGTAGGATGACTCTGCATCTCTGTCAAACATTCTATAACATCCTGGTTCAGGGGTATAACATTTCTATATGTAATAATGAGTTTGCATGGGCGACTCGACGAGTTGGTGCCTCAACTCGTCGAGTAGGGTCGCGTTGGGTGACGTGGATTAATGAGCTGACTCGACGAGTCTGTGAGTCGACTCGCCGAGTCAACGCTGCTGAAGGAAACCCTAAACCTTCAGGCCCGTGGCCTATTTAAAGGCACTTATAGCCTTGTTTGTGGCTCATATGCTGTTTAACTCTCCTGTGTGAAACTCTAGATGACCGTTGAATCTAAGGGAGAGTGTTTGAGCTAATAATAGGGTCAGCGAGGGCGATGTCATCGGGACCAGTGACCTTGAAATAAGTGGGATGGCCCTGCATCCAAACATATCCACCCAGGGCGGTACGTAACAATTGCATTGCCCGAAGGTTCTGCAGGGTCAAACAGAAGGATTCATTCGTAAAGAAGGGGTACTCCTGAATAGATTGCGCTGCGAGGGAACGGGCAATGATGACAATCAGACCACCACAACGAATTGCACCGCCGGTGCGAAGGCTTATAACTCTATGCAACCTATTGATGATAATATCACCAAAATGTGGGTGGTGCGAACCGATGATCATGCACCACAAAAGAAAAAAGCTCGGCTTTGCCGGCTTTTGTAGTCTCAATCTGTGCAATTTTGAGAACAGGGTGCACAAATACTTTTCTGGACGGATTGAGATGAATCATAAAATTCCAAACCGTTAATGGAGTACTAAAACCCGCGTACGTCAAAAGCAGGGGCGGGCTGGGATAAGTTGGTGATGGGGGTATGAAAAAAAGTACATAACTGGTCCACGTGAATAGAGTGAGGGGTGCTAAAAATACGAAAAGAAAAATTTCCCTCATGATTGATCTCACTCAGTGTAGCTAAAAACTCTCGAGTCAATAAGGGACTGGTGGCAAAATCTGGAGATAAAAGGCATCCCAACCAATATTGGCAAAAAGAGCATGAACACCATCATAAATATGGAGTTCCCGCATTAATGTGCGGATGGGCCAGGCTTGTGGAAAAATCTCGCGGTCGAGAAGTCACTAATAACAGTCGAGTGCGACTTGTGATCCTAAATCCACAGTGACATTGTCCACCTGGACAGTGTATGACGGGTCTGGAGCGTCAACATTTATGCGCGAACGGGAGGGTCTAGGGGGCATTTTTCAAGTCAAAACTGGGACAGAGTAGGCACAATTTCCAGTAGACAATAATCAAGAAAAAATAAATATTTCTAACTACTCCCACAACGGATACGCAAGCCCGCACAATTATATGACAAAAACAAAAAAGATCAGTTTCAGAACGAATATACCTAACTGCGCGCTGAGCGGCAGTATATTTTTCGTGTCTAAAAAAATTTTGATTTTTGAAATTTCGTCCAGATGAATCTCTTCTGAATTGCGGCGTGTGCAAACGTTTCAACTTTTCGTGGCCTGCGAAGTGCTAATAGAGCGTAGATCTGAAAAAGAAGCTCACAAAAATTCAAATTTCAAAATGAACAAAATGAGATCTTCAGAGAATTTCAATCGTGAAAACATGATTTTGTTACCGTAGAGATGTTGTAGGAGTAAAACAGAAGAGATTGATAACTTATTTGCTTGATTTGGATGAAAAATAAGCGATTTGAGTGATTTTTGGTGAGAGAACTCGAAAACTAGTGGAATCCAGAGAGAATTTTGGAGTTGAGATGGTTACAAATGAGGCCTACAACTAGTATATATATGAAAAGCTTAACCTGCGACCATATAGACAAGACCTGCGATCGCAAGTTTTTCAAAAATCCAATGTTCATGTGATTTATACAGCAGGTACCGTCTAGATGCAAAAATAATGATACATGCGATCGCAGGTATCAATTTTTCTAGTCTGATGAATTTTTTGGCACGAAAAAAACCACGAAGCAAGGCTGCGACCCCAACCTGCGATCGCAAAGGCATACCTGCGATTACATAGGTCAACATGCGATCACATATTGTCATTTTCAGCTCTTTTGATCGTCCACTACTAGAAAAAAGGCTTTTTACGACGCTCATTGCGCGTCGTAAAACGCTCAGACGACGCGCAAATGCGCGTCAAGGAAGGCCCTGTCATAATGAGAGACGATGCGCTTTTGCGCGTCGTCTATAGACGATGCACATTTACGACGCGCATTTATGACACGCAGTTACGACACTCATTTACGATGCGTATCAAGGAAGACCCTGTCATAAAGGAAGATGACACGCGAATTACGACGCGCGTGTTAATGACACGCAATGCGTATCATTAAACCCGCTGTCAAGAAAGGCCATGTCATAAATGAAGATGACACACATTTTTGCGTATCGTAATTGTAAATTTATATATATATATATATATATATATATATATATATATATATATATATTTATTTATAGATTTACTAATTTTCAAATTAAATTTGCATTTCATGTCTCATAATAGAAAATAAAATATCATATACAAAAAATACAATCCATTGCACAAAAGTTAATGTCATACAAATACTCATTCTAATATTAGACAAATGTAATACATCAAATGTGAAAGAGATGAAAGTCTTCAACAAATAACAGTTGAGCTAAAAAAAACTTGTTGCCCACCTTCACAACATCTCGAGCTACTTTGCTTGTCACTATGCACATCAACAAGACCTACAAATTTGAATAATGCAACCATTAGATTCACATAAACCAACAAATCCTAATATGTAAGCATGAAATTTATGCATCTATGTTAAAGGGGTAAAATGGTCATTTACAGTTCATTTAGAGCAAAAAAGGAACAACTTTTTTCATTTACTACTTACTTCACCATACAGACCTCATTTATCTCAACAAATGCAGCATACTGATTATGGCATCGTTAGATAAGTTAAGTGACTAAGTTAGGTAGGTAACTAATGAGACATAAAACTGATGAAATAACTAAAATGCCCTTATAGTAAGCATAAGAAGAAGATTAAGTATGACTTTATAAATTGGACCAATATCAATACTTGAACATTGATCAAAAACTTACATGAGAGCAAATCCCATTTTCTCCACAACACCTCTGAGATTTTTCACCATTTTCAAGCTCAATTGGATAGTGTTTCAAGGATCCCGAGCCTCCTACTTTTTGCTCAAAGTTTCCAAGATTCTTAGCAAATGTTGGACCTAAAATGAAAGAAAAAAAATGGTTTTCTGAATATATACTTCAATTACTAAGAAAATAGTAAGTCAAAAAACTACAGATGTTCAAAATAAGATGCTAGTAAAGCTTTGCCATAATGGTAAGATGTTATGATATACAGAGCAAATGTAAAATTCAATAAGATGCACATAATAATATTCTAATGATCTTATAAGATTTCCAAATAAGATACTAGTAAAGCTTTTTCACAATGATATAAGATGTCATGACATACATATCAAATTTCAAGATTCAATAAAATGCACATAATAATATGTTTTAGGGTAAATTATAAAAAAAATGGTCCCTGAGCTTTCTGGTTTTCCCATTTTTAGATCAAAATTGAAGCATTTGTCAGCTTTTGTTCTTATTTTTGTTCCAATTGCAGATTATTTTCTCTTTCCAATTCATATTTGTGTTTCCATTCTATAGCCTCAGGTTGAGCAGCAGCTTTAGCTTCTGCTGCTTCTCTTAAAACCTTGCCAACTGCTTATGAGTGACATAAACCACAAGGATCAGACACGAACCTTATTATTAACAAAAGCATCCTACTTTTATTTCACCCGAATGAAAGCAATCATACTTCTCATGGCTATCGAAAACTCCACAAGTTGATCTTCAATCCCATCAACAAGTGGAAGTGGCTGATCATCAATTTCTTTTACAACTTTCTCTAAGTTTCCAAGAGGAAGGAAATCATTTACACCATTCTCCTGTGCAAGATTATGTGCATTCACCTATTCAAAATCGAATGAAAATTCGAAAGAGAGTAAGTAGAAAATAGAGAGAAGGGCTCTACAAACGTTAAAAGGAAACACATATACTTGAGCCTATCATAGCATTACAGAAATATTCAGCCATATTTTGAACTTAATGCTTCAAGACATATTATTGAAACATTCAGCCATCTTTTGAACTTAATACTCAAATTCTATTTATAGCATTTCCTGTTACTTTTCGCCTTCTAGAGACATGATACATGTCTTTCTGCTTAACTCTAGTATTGTCATTTGCACTTTCATGTTGATGTTAAAGCGAGTCACGGATACTTGAGCCTATCATAGCATTACAGAAATAATTACCTCAGCCCTGAGTCTATCATCGGAGCATAGAGATCCTGTAGCACCAGATCTCCCATCCTTGCCTTGTGGCTAATCACCATCTTCGGCTAAATAACATACACACAATTTATTAACACGAATTCAACGATGAAATAGACATTGCATACACAACAATCAATTCTGGAAAACCATCACTAATGCAACAAATAAGTTACAAATCAAAAACATTAAGTCGTTCTGAGTTACGATTGCGTAATTCACTGTGACAAGAGCAATTAAGTCAAACTGCATACTGACCTGAACAATTGATTAATAAAGAATTAGAAACTTGGCAGTACCTTTTTGTGCTTATTGTTGGATTTCTTACATGTACCCATCTTGTAAGGTCTATGACACAGGGCCAATAACCAATTCAAACTTTTACTTTGTTAAAACTGATGGGTTTTGGTCATAAGACATCCTATGTGCTCATACAAACCCTAATGCTTGGATCTAGGTTTCTCTATTGTACATGCTTGTTATCCAAGACTATAAACCCTAATTCTAGCATTCAAATAATCATATTAACATGAGAATAGGTTTATAATGTTACCTTGATTGTTATGTATCAATAACAATCCCAAATCTCCTTGTATTGACTTTGGAAGGCTTAGAGTCACAAGTGTCACTCCTCTAATGGTTTACAAACACCATAAGCAAGAGGATGAAGAGGAGAGAGGATGGAGGCTGCCAAAACCATGTGAAAACCCTAGCAAGAAGCTTAGCCACGTTTTTGGTTCTTAAGGGATCTATATATAGTGAGGCAATTAGGGTTATCTAACAAGGAAACCCTAATTTGGTTACTTAAGCCCTAAGCAACCCATGGAGCCTTTTCCTTAAGGCCTTGGACGATTTCATATGGGCTTCCCCCATAGAAATTAATCCACCTTATAATATAAGGCAATCCATGGCCCAAATTGCAATTATCTTATAATTACAATTTCAGTCCCTTAAGTTTAATTAATCTCTTTTAGTCACAAAACTAATTACTAATTAATTATTGACTAATATTAATTAAACAATATGATTTCTCCTTTAATATATTATTCCCATAATATATTAATAAATCATATTTAATCCTTTCTCTCCATAATTCATCCTATCAAGTTGCTTTGGTGAAGGCAACCCAAAAAGACCATGCACCATCGGGTCAAGTACATACCAAAATAGTTATGGATTTAGACACTAATCCAACATTCTCCCACTTGGATAAGTCTAACAACTATTCTGCGTATGACTTCAGATCCCGATCTGCAATCATAGCTTTCCAAAGCCGCTGTCAACTCTGATCATATCAAATACGTGTGTCCTTAGATAAGGGATCATATATTCCTCCATTCTAGATATCATATGAGATATGATTTCAAATCATTCTCTTTGTACTATATCTCGATTTCCGATTTATGACGACTGACTAATTGAACAAATCAAATTAGCCCTAGCCCGGCCGAGCATTTACGTTTGTCATCATTAAACCATCGAGGGGCCCAAAAGATATCGCTTTTATCCTACCTTGGATAAAAGGAACGGATAAACTTTGATACAATGCTTGCTTGCACTTACTAACCAAATCACACACAACAATATGTTTTATAACACCAAGTTACTAGTGCGTTTACATATTATCAATGAGCAACCGATTCGCAAGATACAACTCACACATCTCGGTTTCAAGAATATAAGATGTTATCGTCTCACCAATCACTCGTGATACAATTCATGGAGTGATCCAAGTGAGCGTGGGTTTAATCCAATGCTCAAATCATATTCATAAGCACTCATGAACGTTGCAGTAAACATTTGCTTATGTCTAATACTCTTTTAGACAACCCACACACCAATTCACGACAGTCTTCATTCATATCTACTTCCAACATATGAATGACTGTGGCCCGTTCGAATAATTCGATTATTCTTAATAAACTCAATTATTCTGGAAGTCAAAACATGCAAATGTGAAACACAAGAATAATACTAATCCCATATGGCCTTAATCCTTTGAGTATAAATAAAATGCCTTTTATTTATCACCATATCGATTACTCATTATTTGTCGTTTCGGGTAATCAACTTCTTACTTGAATTATTACACTTGTCCCATGCACCTAGCATGCACACAATGTTTACCTATGGTTCTTACTTTTGTGAAATAGACAAATTGAACACATTTCTAATCATTCTCATTTTACAACTCCAAATCTTTTTTCATAAGTGTAAGAATATGTCACACCCCCAAACCAAGGATGGCGGAAACGTCCGGGGGTGGAGGACTTCATGTATAGCATCATAACCACAATTTTAATAGTAATTTAAGCAAACACAACCAACATATATATAATTGAAAAAGTTACATCACTTGTATGAATTACATGTTTCAAAATCAATTACAATATGTTGTCAAAATGTGAAAAGTTTGACGCCTTAACGTCCCATCCTCAAAAGCACTTGATAACCTGATTAGTGTTTTCCTGTGAATACAAGTTGTTTGAAAAGTGTCAACACAAAGGTTGGTGAGTTCATAAGCTTTTATTAATAAACTTAGTAGGAGTATTTCACATGTAAATGTCGCGTTTGTTTCAGAAAAATCCGGTATTTCCCTTGAAATCCGAGAAATGTAGCCTTATAACCAAAGACTAGAGTGTATGAGAAATCATCGTTTCTTAGTAACAATGTTGTGAGTTTAAAATGTTATGGAAAGTAAAATTTCTTTTATCAACCTAAAACCTACTTCGGTTTTATGAAACCCCGTAAACTTCATGAATTGTTATCCCCCTAAGTGAGTCGCTATAATCATACTGTGACTATGTGAACCTGCCACAACGTTTCTCAGGCGTCGCGAAAATGAAATGACATTTGTCACCCGTAGACCTGCAGGTCCCACTGTAGCTAGCAGCAAGGTGTGGGGTGTCAAACCCAATATAGATCTATATACAAGTATCACGTTCTCCCTCAAGGAGATTCTGATTATAACTACCAGGAATTATATCCCGCACTCGGACGTACGGGGAGAGAGAGAGAGTCTCACAACATAGGTTAACAGTTTACGTGAAATGTGTGTGAATATAAATCTTTCTTGTATGGATGTACCCTTTTTGTACGAGTGCGTTGAGTGATGTATCATAAACTATACCTATTATAGTTTATCTAAAATGTATGTAATATGTATGAATCCTCTTATGGAAATGTATTAGTATTGTGAATTTATCAAACTATACTTTTTATAGTCTAATGATACGTGTTCCAAAATGAATGATAATATTTAATATTTAGTATGAATTTCATAGTTTCAGTTCATAATGGTAAACTAACAAGGAAACACATACAAATACTAAAACTTATGATTATACACTTTGCTCAACATAATACAAAGTGTTATGATATTTACATGCTGTTGGCAAAATTTAGCGATTCTGCCCTGTTTTGGAAAAATCATAGAAAAATCATACGAAGTCGAAATCTAGATCCGTAAACTCTGAGAGTTCACAAAATGTGTCTAGTTTGTTCATAATTTTTATCACAAATTAATATGACCTCTAACTTGGGTGAAAAAGTCCAAAATCACAGACTGGTCCGGATTGTTGTTTGAAATGATAGGCAGTTTTGTAAAAATCACCATAAATTGTAGAAAAATCGTATGGAGATGTGCAAGTAGCCATTTTAAAGCTAAAAACTTGAACTATTTGCACCTTGTACAGTTTTGAAAACAAAAATATTTAAGATTCCCAAAACAGTCCGTGAATGGAGTTGAACTTTTCTGATGAAGGCTGTTAGAAAATTTTGATAGGTTCTTAGTGTTTTAACTTGTATTCACCCCCTGAAAACTTGAGAAATCATGAAAATGTAGGGGTATGAACTCACCTTGAGTGATTTCAGTAGATGATTGTTGAAGAATGGAAGTGTTTAATTCAAGAACACTTGGAGATGCCTTGAAGGTTTTCGAGAATCTAACATCATAGTTAGGGAGTTTGTGTAAGCAACCAAAGATTTGAGTAGAATGAAGTGAAATAGTAATAGGGAGGATGAATTTTTACTTACTAAGTGTGGAAGAACACTTGAAATCAGCCTTGGATCTCGAAAATTTGTGTAGAAGAGTTTGAGAGAAAAAGTGGTGTTTGTTACTTAGTGGAATGAGAGAAATGAGAGAAAATGAGGAGTGTGGTTGTTTGTTCCAGCTCAAAAACGTGGGAGTGAGTGAAATTTGAGTGTAAGGGAACATTGAAGTGACATAGGTAAGGTGGGGAGGTATGGCTGGTCATAGAGTGGGTGTGGGGTGGTTGCTTGTGTCATAAGTTAAGGCAAAGTCAACACTCTACCTTAAATAAATCCCCCATTAAATCTTTATTATTTAATTAATGATTTTTATAAAAATATGTTTAAATTATGAATATTTAGGGTTTATTATGTTAAAATAAAATTTCTGGAGAAAATCCCGCTTTAAAATCATGAAAAACGGGCTTAAAATGTCAAAAATATCAAAAATGGGCTGAAAATGACAAAAATGCGAGACCTGGCCGAGGTTCGGCCCTCTTATGCTGAACCGAGAGAGAGAGGGAGGCGGAACCGAGAGGAGAGGAGAAGGAGGGAAGAACCGAGAGCACGAAGAGACAGAGAGGAGAGAAGGGAACCGAGAGTGCGCGAGAGGCAGAGAGGCAGAGGGAAGGGAACCGAGAGTGCGGCGCGAACAGAGAGTGAGAAGCGGAGCAGAGAGGCGGAGTCGGACCGAGAGTGCGGCGCGAACAGAGAGTGGGGGCGGACCGAGAGGCACCGAGCGCTCTGTCGTGAACAGTAGTTTCGGTTCTTGCTTCTTGTTCTCGGTTTCGGTTCCTCCTGGGCGAGGTTCGGTCTCGGTTCTCTTAGCCGCCAGAGGCTCGGCCTCTGTTCTCTTAGCCACCAGAGGCTCGGTCTCTGGTCCTAAGAAGCCTCTCATTCCGGTTTCGGTTCCTAAAGCCTATTTTTCTCGTTTTCGCCCCGTTTTAAGCCGTTTTTGACCCGGTTAAGGGCCGGAATGACCCGAATGATTCCAAAAAGTTACGGGAAACTTTTGAGAGAGATTTGGGAGAGA